TGGAAAACACTCGATACAACTAATTGTGACATCACTTTTGAAAAATACAGTTTTTTTTCTTCTGCTCGTTGTTGTCGTCCCCATTTACTAAATCTCTTTAATTTTTGAGGCTACTGCCTCCTATAGAAGGCGAAGCCAAATTTTATTTCGAGATGAGTGAGTGAGTGAGTGAGTGAGTAAGTGAGTTAGTGAGTGAGTGATCTTAACTCAATTTTGACCCGTTGTTACGAAGTCCTACTTATTGTCTTTTTTTTCGGAGTATCTGAGTAGTTTTACATTAGCACTCGATGCAGAGTTGAGTTCTCTTCTTTTGTGATTTCTGGCTTATAGCCACCGGCACATTAAGTTTTCATTTCTTGCCATGAAATTACTGAAGACAACAAAAAATGATAAGCATCTCACAATCATTTCAGGATTGCGGGTGATTTTAAAAACAAAACTTTTCCTCCTAGAAATATCTTAGAAGGTTAGATGAGTGCATCTTAGGAATTCAAGCAATATGTTTTTCTTAAGTTCGAAGAAAGAGAGCATTTTGCCGTTTGATTCAGCAAATTGTGTAGATCCGAGGGCATCATCTTTTTAAGCTCTTGCCGTGACACTACAAAGGAGGATAGTTTCACATTGACATTCACCATCGCATAATTTACTCGTACATTATCTAGTCACAGTGAAATCCTTGAAATGTCCTGCTGATCATGTAAATCTTGCCATGTCGCAGAGACTTCGGATACAATGATTTTCATCAGCATTGCATTTTTTTTCTAAATGTGTTCCAAATAATTCAAATTCAATGGAAATTTTAGCAACCTTCGCCTATATGATCTCCGCAGAACTCTTGACGATCGACACTGGACAAAATTGGCTAGTCCTAAATTTTCGTGAAATTTTAAAATGAAAGTGGCTGCAACTGGAAAAAAAATATTAGAAGTCTTTTGTATTTTGCGGTCAACACAGCGTACATTATGCATGCAACTACAAAAGTATAAAAGTCTTGAATTTTTATTTTCCAAGCCAAAACATGCAGATTGAATGAAAGCAGCTCTGTACTCAGTTAGAGTTAAAAATATTTTTGTGCGAGGAATTTTTTTTTTTCATTGAAGTTAATAATTTACTTTGTTAATTTTTTTCCTAAAGCAAATTTGAAACCTGTTTACGACAGAATATAGATACCGACTAATTACTAAACAGAGATGAGGACACTAAGGCCGAACTTTATTTTCCTTCTTTTGACTGAAATGGCTGTCTACCTATGTCTTGCGTGCACAGACAGGAGAATCTTTGTTGCTACTGAAGGTAAGGCTAATTGACTTGGACTGACTGACTGTTGCTACTGAAGGTAGGGCTGATTGACTTGGACTGACTGACTGACTGACTGACTGACTGATTAGCTGACTGGAGACATGGCTGGAGACATGGCTGACTGATTGAGACTGTTTTACGGGAGGTCTAACCGGCCAACCGACCGATTGACTATCAGATTGACCGCCTAGCTTGTATTCCGGCCGATTGCCTAGCACATTGCCTCGTTGAAAAACTTCTCACTGACTCACTGAATTACTGGCTGGCCCAATTACGTATACTCACTGTGATTGATCTGTAATTTTTACGTCTGCCTGCACTCAAAGACCTAAACTATAAAGCGTTTACTGACTGACTAAATTACCAGCTGGTCGATTTACTCACCGCGATTGATTTGTAATTGTAACTTGTGCCTACACTCTAATACCTAAGCTATAAAGCACTTTAATTTTAAGATTAACAACACCCACCTGAAAATTGGCGGGTTAATTGACCTTATTTTTTATGATATTATCATTCAACTTGTTCCGCATTACTTTTACTAAGGACATGCTCTCTATGGTCACGTAATCTCATCCCATCAAGTTACTTCCCACCGAGACTGCCACATCCTCTGCATAGAGCACAAGAGATGTCTTTCCTATAACTATCAATATTTATCGCCTTCGTCGAGTCAACTTTGTGAACTCAAAGACTCCACAGGAAAAATGTGTCCCCATAACATGACCCAAGTAATAGGATTTAAATATTACGAGGACTATGTAAGTATGACTATGTATCATATGCGTAAATATGACAAGGTATTTGTGTTTACAGCAAGCCTATATCTTGGACGCGAACGTAAGAGAGAATAGCAATATTCCTAGGCTGGAGTAGAGTACTTACGAAAATGAAATGCGTTATTCATCAGTTAAATCTACTTTTTACTTCACTTTGAGTTTGAAAAATTATATTAATGGTTCAAACTATTGAAAGTATACCTCAA